CTCTGGTTACTGCTGCGTTTGAGCAGAAGCTGCCGCTCGTGGGCCCCGAGGACAGGGGATGTGTCGCTCTGCCGTACTGGGAGAGGCATCTGCTGTGTGGTGCCTTTTGCACCGGAGAAATGCTGGAGCCGTTTGCGGTGGATTCGCTGCAGTGTGTTCCCGAGTCGCCGATGCTGCTGTTGCAGCCGTTCTCCAGAGACGGAGAAAAGTTCCCGTGTCTTTTCCTTTTTCTTTTTTTTTTTCCCCTGGTTGTGTGTGGTACCGTAACTGCGGTTAGTGTCTGCATGCTTCAGAAAATGATGCAGCGAATTAATACACCAGCTTTACCAAGAGGAGTAAAACCTGATTTGAATATCAGTACCCATTTTTATCCTCACGATGCACCCATGGCCTAGCTTGATATGGCTGAGCTTGCTTGTGGATTCTCCTCCTTGTTTTATCTAGCGTTGCAGGCATTTCTGCCACTTTTGCCAGTTGTTTGTGAGGGACATGGAAAAGAGCAGTCGGAGCTATTAGTTGCATCTTATTTATTGTAAAACACTGAAAGTTGTGGGATACCTGTGCAACTTCAGCAAAGTAGGAGTACGTCAGAAGTTGCCTTTGCATTTATGAGGTCCTAAAATGACTTTGTTTTAAACTAAAGGTTTTGAAATTGAAAACCTAGCATTTGTGTGGTTTAACTGTGTACGTTTATAACTGAAATAAGAGTAGGTGACTTCTTATTATGTTCTCAATTCTGATTAACTGCTGCCTAGGAAGTGTAATGTAGTTATTGCTTGGTCAATTGTTATGTTAGTTTTGGCTAACTAAAAAACCAAACGTGTCAATAGCTTCATATTAAAAATGATTCCTTCACTGAGGGGCTTTTACTTTGCTTTCCTTTGTGGGGCTTCGTTTTTTTTTTTTTTTTTTTCAAGGGAGGAGAGGTGGAGAGATTTATCCTGTGGAGGCTGGGTTTTTGTTTATGTTTTTCTTAAGGTGCTGAGAGAGGTTGCACTGTCATGTGGGGCCTGTTAGAGTGAATTGGAAGTGGTTCTCTGAAAAGCAGGTCTAGTGATTTGTAATAGCTGTAATGACAATTCTGGCTTTGTTACCAAACTTCCTAGGAACATCTCAGATTTTAATTGTTTAGTGCCTTTAGTAGAGCTGAAAACTGGAGTAGTCAGAGAATGATGTGGATGAAAAAATAAAATGCAGCATTGGTAGGACTTTGTACAGGAAAAATGTAAGATTCGAATTAAGTTTTGGTATATGTGACCATCGTTTAATGCTCAGGGATGAGTGACTAGATTATGACTGAAAAAAATCCTTTATAATTAGTTCATGTAAGAAGGTTCTTATTCCCAGTCTGTTAAAATGCTTTATAGTTCCTTTCTTAACTGTGATTAAAATTGAATCCTGTTCCCTAATGTATGATATTGATTTTATTTATTTTTGGTCTGCTGCTTGTCCCATCGTTACTGCAATGCTCTGACTTGTTAGACTGTACGCCATGGTTTCCCCTATCAACCTTCAGCCTTGGCATTTGATCCTGTTCAGAAAATACTGGCCATCGGGACTCAGACTGGAGCATTAAGGCTGTATCCTTTTATGTGCTGAAAAGGAAATTAGTGTACCTCACACAAGTGACATTTTAATTCTGCTGCAGGAACTACTAGGACATACTATGGAAACCAGGTATGCATTTGAAGGGGATGAAGCTCTGAAGCTTTTTGTTGGGGGGTGCCTGGCTGTACTGGATGTTGCATGTGTCGGTTCAAATTGTGGCAATGGTGTGAGGTATGGCTGCTCAGTCCCCATTATCTCAAGTTAATGTATATATTTTGTAAAGGGTTGCTAGTGTACTGACAGTTTACAGTGGCTGAATGCAAATCTAAAGAGAGACCTGAGCTGAGCTCTGTTTCATTGTCATAGTGCTGTATCCTGTGGAACTGAAAAATTCCAGACTACTTTTTTTTGGTCTTGTTCTTGAGAGAAGCTTTGCGATACTCTAATTACCTGCTACTACTTCTGTGGTGCCAAAAGATGGTTTAAAGGTGGGAAACTAAAATGTACAGGAATTGTCTTACTAATAGTTTACAGGTAACTGAGATGAGCCTAATGAATTTGTGGAATAAAGCGACAGTAACCTTGTTTCTTTTTGTTCACTAAAAAGTGAACTATTGGTAGCCTAATGGTGCCCTATCCATCTGCTACTATCCAAGCCATGCAATAATGTACATGTTTAAACTTTTATTCTAAAAGAAGGTGCCCCATAGATTCTTTAATCCACACTGCCATTGCCTGAACCTTACTTCACAGCAGAGTAGAATAAATTGAATTCTCTGTTATCCTGAAATTAACTAAACTCTGACCTTTTCTGAGAAGGTTTAGGCCCTCTTGCTAGAAAAATTGAGTTAATCCTCTCTAAACTGCGGGTAAATCTCATCTCTTTCTTTGCTGCTCTCTGCTGCTTATAATACTCTGCAAGTAGATTTTTTTGTTGTTGTTGTGGTCTTCTGTAGCATCGCTATTTCATCTGCCAGGTTAATTATCTTAAATGGACTGTCTTACAGAAGTTGAAAAGTTAGAACGTAAGTATCAAATCAGAGGCTGAAAAAAAGAGGCTGAACTGAAGTAACTGGTTTGAATACTCGGATCTTGTGAGTTCATAATAATACAGATATCAAAGTATGACTATGCAGTGATTGAATGCATAGTTGAAACTAGCCTTAACTTAAGAAGTTATATTTTTAAAAAGGTGACAAAGTTGATTTAAGTCAAGGGTAAAGTGTGTGGGGGAGGGGGATTACTTGCACTCATAGTGGTGAAATAAATTGCCTGGTGGTACAGTGAGAAAATAAAAAGAAACATGAAAGTGAAGTTTGAAGGCTGGTTGGAGGAGAAGGAAGGAGCAAAACCTGTTAAAGGTTTACTTGCTTGTAATTTTGGGCAATATGATGTTCCAGGTTGTGTAATGACAGCTTGATAAAATCTGTTTACTGGCTCTTACCCTTGACTACACCTGTGAATTCTCTGAGTGTGATTTGCATTCTAAATAATCGGAAGTGTTGCAGCATTGCGAGGGAAGAAGCAAAGTTAGTTTCAGGGGAAGCAGTAACATTAACTGAAAATGTATTTCCTAAGGGAAAGGAGGAGTTTCCATGCAGAGGCTGATATGTTTGTGCTTCGCTAATGAAGCGAAGACAAATATGCTTTCCTCTGACAGTACCTGGATACTGGTTTTTCAGTCATAGAAGAACTGGTTAAAAGCCCCTGAATATGGGCTCATGGGTTAGCACTGTAGCCCAACAACTCTGCAGAAGTTAAATCTTCTGTGATTACTTCCTTTTTAGGAAAGGGGGGGGGAGGAAGGCAGGAATCTAAAACTAGCCTCTCGCCTTCTGCCTAGTGAAACTGGTTTGAACAGCGCTCTTTGGGAAGCCGTGAAACTTGCCAGAATTGTTTGTTTCATTCTGCTGCTCACTGATGGAAACTGACTCAAAAAGTGGCCCAGATTAGTGCTTGCTGGCCTGTGGGCTGTTTTACCCGTTGAGCTTTTTATGAGCAACAAACGAGGTACAAGGATTTTTTTTAAATTGGGAGCCACTTACTCCTCTGAGTTGCAAAATGCTTTTTAATTGAAATGAGGTGTGGACTAGAGGACTGAGAATCGGTAAGAGTTACTCGTTGAGAAGTAAATCCTAAAAGTGGAAGGAAAGTCAGGCCTCATTTTCTCCTCCTTTATTCTTGTCATGAGAGTACAGAGAAGTAGAGAAACGATAACACTTTTTTCATTGCCTACCAGCGGCTGGGAGTTAGATGTTAGTGTTTTAGTTGCATCCTCAAATATAGGTGCCTCATCTTGAGCTTTCGTTTCCTTTACAGTGCAAGTAAGTGATCTGAGTAATTGTGAAGCAACAGTTTTTAAAAAGGATATTAAAGATAACGTATCCTTAAATAAACTAGTTAACAAGCTAAACTGTTCTAGATATCATTAATATGTTTAAAAAAAAAAAATTAGAGTCCTGATTCACTTTTGGCAATTTATCGGCTAATCCCATTACAACATGTTCTCTGTATCTGAGTAGTTTGCAACTTAGGTATTTTAACTTCAAGACCAGTATTGGCTAGGACATTTTAACTGTGAGCAAGAATTTCTTAACCACACTGCTATCTCGTTCTTACTTGCAGTGACTTACTTTACAAAAACTGGTGGAGAAGTGCATTTTAATGCACAAATGCTAAATACTGTCACATCTGTTGGCGCAGTGACGTATGCAATGTTAGAACTAAAGCTTTTTCTCAAAGAATCAAAAGCCGGGGATAGAAGTATGCTAGAGTTCACTCCTTTGGTTTATTTATCAGTTAGTGGTAAATAAAGACAAAATAAAATGAATGCTGTATCAGATTCTTGAATCCATAATGTAATTGTGCAAAAGGAAATATTAATCTGTTGGTTGCCTATTTTTACTAATCTAATTAGAAGTAGAATTGCTACTCTATTAGTGTTCTTTCTCCCTGTTCTTAGGTTTGATTGGTTAAAATTGAAGAGGAGAGTATTGTGAAGTTGGTGACTTAGTTTACCAAAGACAGGGCTGTGCAGGTCCATGCCATTGAGCAGCAATTAGTTCTAGATCTAGTTTTAAGGGGGAGAGAGGTCCCTAACATGTTAGGAAGGGATTGCTTTTAATTTAAAACTTAAAATCTTTTGAGTTGCCAGAGTGATAGTTTGGGAACGTTCACTAGCTTAACCTGAGCTATATATCCGAACTTTTTCTTAATTGATTCCATTTTCAGAGTTACTTAGAAATATTCCCAACTCAGATTTAGCTGCGAGGCTTAAAAGCAAATGCCCTTGTAAGACAGACTGCTATTGCTCTGATATTATCCTTAATTAGAGAAGTATTTTCTGCCCTCTGTAGAAAGGAACAGATTGAACAATTAATTATAAAGACTCTGTTCTTCCTGTTCTGCTTCTGTTTTCAGCCACGGACAAAGGCAGTTGGTCACCTTACTTTGTAGTTTCCCTGATCTATAGCTTAGTAGGATACAAACCTGGTATAATGCCAGTTAGCAGACCTGCTACTCCTGACCCCAGAACAGCCAGCTGATGCCCTTCCCCTCCCTTCCCAGCATTAGGACCTATTGAAAATACTTAAGCCTTTTGATTTTATTTCCTACGTTGTGGAGGAAACTAAGAGGTGAGGAAGGCACAAGAGCACACCACTGAGTGACATAAAAATTTAAATTTATTTACTAAGAAGAAAGGGTAGAGCAGGTGGATAGTGACATCTATTCTGTCTCACACTCTCTCACTCACTGCAGTCCAATTATTCCCCTGAGTTCATAGTGTTGGTCACGGGCTGCTCACTCCAGCTGGTGGAGGTGTCTGAGTCTTGGCTGGCAGCCTGACATATTTTATATGTAGCAGTTCCACCTCAGGCTCAGCCTTCTGCAGTGTTGGAAGTTTGTGGATGTGCTCCCCACAAGGAGCTACTGTTCTCACAATTTATTACTTTCTAACTTAAATGGTCAGCCTAAGCTGCTGGTAGCCTTGTTTGCCATGTCATGGCAGGCCAATCTCTTTGACTTTCTCCATACCTAAAGCCAATTAGCTGTTGTTACTAGGGTTGCTATCAGCTTCTGGTCTCCTGACCCAAATGCATTAAAAGGGTGTGAAGTTATTAAGGGTACATATATGCCTCTTTGTTTCTTTCCTGCACATACCTGAATCATTAGAGCAGGGCATGCATAGTCCAGAGCTTTTGGTTAAGTCTTGTGCATAACTGTCTATACCTTGTTTTTCCAAAACATACTAAAGCCTTCTGATGAGTTAGTAGGTTACATACAGTGAAGATCTCACTTATCTGAATGGCGCTATTAGTTGAGTTTTACCCCTTGACACCCTGACAACATTCAGTGTCATGACCGTGCTTCCATGTTGTCTGTTAGTTTCACTCTTCTACTTGAAAGTCCCTCTAGAAGTTGCATGTGGTCTAAAGACAGTGACATTTAAATTGTAAAGGGGTTTCAGGAAGGAGAAATAGGCTTTTCAGGATTTCTCTCTCTTCAGAATGTTTTCTCAGTACTTTAAATTAGTAATTTTGCAGGGCTCTGGAATTAAAACCAAACCAAAAAAAAGCACAATTAACTATTATAAGAGGTAGAATAAGCTTGGAAGCAAAAGCAGAAGATTTAGAGAAAGTTACCTGCTCCCTGCTGTTTAACTGCTCCATCTTAAACAAATTGCTTTAGTTTTCTGTGCTTTCATTTCTCAATAGCAAGATGAGGACAATATATCAAATGAAAAGTGTTTTGATCGTCTGCCAAAATAAATGCAATGTGTTTATTGGTGCGTCATGCCTTAAAAATCATTATTTGCAGCTTGGAGTTCTGTCGCTCTCATGATAGAAAGAATTCTACAAAGAGAGACTATTTCACTAGAAGTTCTTCAGGATAATGGGATACTAGTAAAATTGCAGTATTGTGCCTTCCGCACAAACCAAATTGTGCTTAGGACTCTTTATTCCTAAGCAGAAGAGGTTCTTTAATTAAAGCGATTTTTCTTTTTTCCCCCTTTCTGTTGCAAAGCCAGTTC